ACACCACAGTGCCCAGGAGGGCTCTGGTCCAGCTGGGTCATTTGGAAATGATGCTTATGTTTCACCTTTTGGGAAACTGTCCAGCCACATCCCCACCGATGGCGCCATTTCACCTGCCGTGGCCAGTGTGTGGGGCCTCGTTCTTCATTTCCTCCCGGATGCTCGGTCGTGTCTGAGCTTTTTATTCAGCCTTCCTGAGTGGGTCGAGAGCTGTCTTGTAGCCGTGACTTACTTTTTCCTAGCAGCTCGTGACGTTGGACATCTTTTCGTGTGTCCTGTGGCCCTCCGTACGTCTTCTCTCGAGACGGCTGTTCAAACGGGCCCTCCCCGATTTGGCAGTCAGCGGCACACTAGCTGTACCGTGCGGGCTCTGAACTGCCCTCTTCCTCTCACACTTCTGGAAGGAGGAGTGACTACTGGTGGCCTAGAGATCTTGGTAAAAGAGCAGGATGCACCCACCTGAGGTGCGAGGACCAGGAGATCTTTCATTCCTCCTTTGACTTCTTTCATGCCTATTCAGCTCTTGAATTTCTCCATTTCTTCTCACACTCATTTGAGCGTTTTATCTTTCTCCAGAAACGCACCTGCGACACGCTGTGTTTTATAACACCTTTTTCCTGACCCCGTGTTCCCCTCGACTGCAAGTGGATTGACAGGTCCTGTGCAGCAGCTGTGCAGGGCATGCTTATACCTTGAACGGGCCTCCATGTCTTGGCCAGTCCCCCAGGGGGCAATTTCAGCTTTTGTGTCATAAGCAGCGTGACCCTTGTTTGGATTCTCTCTCTTGGACTTCCTAGGAGTGGCTCAAAACAATGATTTTGTTGCTCAGTAATATGGGCAGGGCTCAGCCAGTGGTTCTTCTGCTCCGGGTGGTTCCCGTGTGGTCCCTGGGGAGGATGGGCCACCTGCACCTGGGCTGCCTGGCTCCTCTCTCAGTCCCTTCACAGACCCTCATCCTCTGTGGGCTCTACCTTCCCCTGTGCAGTTGGGTTTCCTGACGTGGTGACTCCCCAGGGAAAAAACCAAGAACTGCCCAGGCCTTCGAGCCCTGCCTAGACCTGGCAGGGCTGGCCCCCAGGTCCTCCAGTCACAGTGGACTTCAGAGGTGAGAGCAGGTGCCACGAGAGCAGCACGGTGGGGGGGGGGGCAGACAACAGGAAGTGCTGGCTGTTAGCCTCCCACAACTGCTAACATCCTTACATGTTTTGGGGTCAAAGGTGAGGTCTTTGGATGGCTATGTGGTGGCTTGCCTGGAGGGTCTTGGCGAGCTGCGTAACCGCTGGGCCCAGCTGGATTGCACACACATCCTGGGAGCGATGGCCTCTGGGGCCAGGCGAGCTTCCCTTCTTCCTCCCAATTGTCTACAAGGATGGCCTTGTGCCCGCTTGGCGGAGGAGCAGACTGAGACCCAGATTAGCTGTTCCACCCCCGGATCTGCGCCCCTCAGCACCTGCTCCACCCCATCATGCTGTGAGACAGCAGGATCCCCAGCTCCCTCCATCTCTGGGCCCCCAGGAGACGGTGGGCTAAGGAGGCCGTGTGGCTTCTGTACCGGCTTCTGGAGCAGGTTTCCTTTGCTGTGGCTCGGTTCTGTCATGAATAAGGCCTGCCACTGTGGGCAGGTGGCTTCCCCTCTTCCACCGTCACTGTCGTCTTGTAAAACGGGACCCGTACCCTTACCAGGGCCTGAAGCTGTCAGGGAGAGTCAGGGAGGGGAGCTTGGAAAGCACCTGGGTTTTCAGGAGTGGCGAAAAGGGAAGATCATCTTCCGGTTCCTTGGCGTGCCTTCCCTACCCTCCGCTCTCCCTGGGCTGGGTCAGGGAGGCCATTGTATTCAAGGTAAATAAAACTGTCACAAAGGGCCCATTCAGCGCTTTCCTGGTTGTAAGGTCTGGCTGCTCGTGGGATGGCAGCTGCCTGGTCCTCTGTGTCTCTCTGTGTCCAGCCTCCCGCCCAGCTGCCTGTCTGCAGGAAAGCCTGTGCTCAGCGCACGTGGCCCGTCTCAGCGAGGCTCCCCTCTCTTGTGCCTTCCGAGGGGGCCTGGCTTCCGGGCGTGCCTGGGACACACTGCACACCATGACTTGGGGCGGGGAGTCGCCTCGTTCCTGCTGGTTCAGGGGTGAGTCAGCGCCAGCCTGCAGCATCTGGCCTCGCTATCCTGGCCCATGATGAGAGTACTCAGTATCGTTTGGCAGGGCGTCCTCTGTGTGAGGCCGAATGCTGTTCCCTCGGTTACCATTCATTGTTTTACTGTCCACCAGGGCCTGTCCAGATATCTGGTCATATTTTCCTACAAATAATGATTTTCCAGAAAAATCACCACCCAGGTTTGTGACTTCTGTGCTAAGGTGTGGATGTTTCCTGTGGGGCGGGAGCCGGCTCAGTGGGGGGGGGTGTGTGTTTTGACTTGGACGGTGTCCCTGCTCCCATCTGTGAATTGTCCAGAGCTGCTCACTGGTTCATGGATGGTCTTGGGAACTCTCCAGGGATGGGAAAGTCATCAAGGCACACTGGAGATGAAGACAGCAGGAAATTCTTGTTTGTGAGTTTGAAAGCCGCGTGGACATCCCCTGAGCAAGTTTTGAAATCAGGGCCCTGGGAGAAGCAGAAGGAAATGGGTCGTGAAAAGTCGACTCAATATTTTTGATTCACTTTGGAGAAGAAAGTCCAACACGGGGTCTTTAAAATCCCACGTGGCTCTAGAAGGACTTCCTTGCTGCCGTAACCTCTCTGTGTCATGGAGAAGGACGGGCCTCTGGCGCATCAGGAGGGCCTCCAGTGTGGGCTGGCTGGGGATGACGTGTTGTCTTGTGTGTGGCTGTTTGTTGGTCCTCAGACTAGAGGCCACTGAGCACTCACACACTGGCCCATTGTCTTAGTTCATTTGTGTCATTCTGACAAAATGCAAGAGACTGGGTCATTCATAAGGAATAGAAATCTATGGTTCACAGTTGGAGGCTGCGAAGTCCCAAGCCAAGACGTTGGCACAGTCGATGCCTGGCCAGAGTCTGTCTGCTCCAAGATGGCACCTTCTGCGTCCTCCTGTGGTGAAAGGGGGAAGAACAAGAGGGACTCCCACCTCAAGCCCCTACCGAGGGCCAATCCATGTAGGGGGTGGCTTCCTCGTGGCCTAATTGCCCCTGACAGGTCCCACCCCTTGATACTGACACCTTGGGAATTAAGTTTCAACATAGGTTCTGGGAGGGACACTAATATTCAGACCAAACCCATGATAGAATTCAACACTTTCTGAATCGAGTTCAGGACTTTCTGAATCTGAATTAAAGGGTGGGGTTGTAGGGGCATGGGGTGGGGAAAGCCAAGCCCCACCGTACCACAGAGTGTGACTTGACCCGGCCAACTAAACTCTCCGTCTCCAGACTTTTGGAGGGAGACGTGTAAAGAGGGCAAAGAAGAGCAGGATCCCCGCCCCACCCGTCCTGCACCATCACACCTGCCTCCTCCGCGTTTGCTTTCTGAGCCTGGTTCTTCATCCCCGTTGGGGCTTCCCTGAGCGGCCTGTTCATTCCCAACGTGTTGCTAGTGAGTTCCGAGTTAAAATCATCAGAGACACTGGCTGATACAAAGACTTGTTTCCTTTGCCGTGCTTGCTGATGTGCCTGGGGAATGTCTAAGGGACTGTGGCTTCAGCAGAATGGTAATTCAGCTGCCCTTGCACACTTAGAGGTCTCTAGGAATGATGACTGGAGGTGATTGGCAGTTGTTTGTAGGAAGAGGGGACTGGGGCCAACCTGAGACATGTGCCTCATCCAAAGGGGCATGGCTGCTTGGCTCCAGCAGGAGATTTAGTGGCGTGTTTTGTAACAAGCTACTCCAGAGCCAAGGTAAAGTCCACAAGCTCTGTCTTCATGTGACATTGCAGGCTTGGGCTTGCAGGCAGCCTGGTTGGGCTCCACCTGCCTGGACCCTGTCCCAGTGGAATAACCCTGGGCAGACAACTCCACCCTCTGAACCTCAATTTGAGATCTGAACAATAGCATTGGCAATATTATCTGCCTTGTAGAGTTGTTGTAAGACTCAGTGACACGATGCTGGTCAGACATCTCAACTCAGAGCTTGGCACGCGGTCAGAACTCAGTTAAGAGTTGCCACATCCCACATCTTTAGGTATGAGCAGAGAAAATTCACCTTAACCCCAAGGAAAGTTAGTTAACTCCAGGGATGATAGAGACTACCAATGCCCCGGGGCAGGAGCCAGACTGGTGGAATAAATTACATTTTATTCATCAGACTGGAGCACGTTCCTGGCCACCTGTGGCCTCTGACTCACTAGACTTCTAGTTGCTACCCACATAGTCGTGCCACTCCAATCCCTGGCACATGGCACATTAGGGGTTCCAGTATTTTAACTGAGTATTGCAGGACCCAAAGTATTAAAACGGAGTCTTTGCAATTAAATGCTCACAAGAGATGTTATGAAGACCTTGTATGCAGAATACATCCACCTACCCACCCGTCCACTCATCTAGCTATCCAAACCTGCACCCACCCATCTCTCTGCCAATCTACCCACCCACCCACCCCATTCACCCATTCATCCCATTCACCCATTCATCCCATCCACCTTCCTGTGTACCCATCCATCCACCATCTTCCGCAGGGTGAATTTCTGCTGCAGTAAGTGAGGAATCGTCACTTCCCGCCCCAGGTCTGTCCCGGCCACATGCAGCCTACAGGCCTTGGGTGTCTTGATGACTCTTCTTGCTAGAGCCCCTCCCCCAGCACGTGGTGGAATGAGATTTCCTGGCAGCACCTGCGTCCTCTGCGTGTGTCTTTTTGTGATTCTTCTGCGCTCCTTTTCCCCACCACGGCTCCTGAGAGCCCTCTGTGCCGGGGTCCTGGTCTGCTTGGTCACTTTTGGGAAACAAGTGGCCCCCGTCGTGGCTCCCTGTCCCGCAGACTCTGTTCTCTGTTGGCTTTGGGGAAACTGAGCGATGATGGGCTAACCGTGGGCCTGTGTCTCTCCTCCTCTCTCACAGGGAGTCTGACCTCTTCCTGCTCGACAGCCGCACCCTCTGGGCCTCTGAGGAGGGCTGGCTGGTGTTCGACATCACAGCCACCAGCAACCATTGGGTGGTCAACCCAAGACACAACCTGGGCCTGCAGCTCTCCGTGGAGACTCTGGATGGTGAGTCCCCGGCCACCGCCACCACTGGCTCTGGTGCAGCCCGCGCTCTGGGTGAGGAGGTCCGCGGCTGTGTGTGTGCTGTTTGCTCCTGGAGCAGGCTTTCCCATCCCTCCCCCAGGACTCGACAGCCCCTTCCCCTCACAGGGAGCCAGCGAGCTTGGCCACAGGCCTCACGGCTCCGTGGACCCACATCCGTGGGGTGCCTCGTGGTAGAGATGCAGAATTAGGGCTGCCCCAGGACTCCTCTGTCAGCACCTCACCTTGGAGGGCTCTGAGGTGAGCCCTGTAAACACAGCGGTCCAAGCGCTTGTGCAGCTTCTCCACCTCGTGACGCACGGCAGCCTGGGCTGGCCCGGGCACTGGAGCACATTCAGTGGCACCCGTGGCCTCTCCCCCTCTAGGCTCCGTAGTATCTCCTAGTCTCCCCTAAGTGCTTGCAGACATTGCCAAACGTCCTCTGTGGGACAGAATTGCCCCTGGCTAAGGACCATTGCACCTTCCAAAGCATTAGTGCCCTCGCTGTGAGTGGTTCCGAGTCCTCAGTCCTGCAATCCATTGTAGCTGGGCCTCCCGGGCACCTGTCCTCCCTCACAACCCACCTCCTGTGACAAGGGCGCAGGAAGATGAGTGGGGAGCTAGTGGTGGGCCGTGCCATTTCTCCTCCCCACAAATGGTGTTTCTAATTAAATGGGACTGGTTTCTGGGCATGTAGCTTCTTCCTTCCACCAGTTTTAAGGAAAAAAAAATGTTTTTTCATTTATTTTGGAACAGGAAATGTAGGCCCATGACCTCATAGTCAAACAGTATGGGAGTGTGTGACAGTGAATACTTTCCCTTCAACTTCCTTCCCTCATCTGCTGAGTTCCACTTCCCAGAGGCAACTCCTGTTTCCCTGTTACTAAGTTCCTTTTCAGCGATGCTATCTGGGTATTCAAGAGCTTCCACAGAGATTCTACTTTCCTTTTGTTCTTCAAATGATGGTGCAGTGTGTTCTTCATCTGACAGCTTATCTTGGAGATGGATGCTGTTCATCATTAAGAGGTTCCTAGTTCATTGTAAGACTTACATGACTTCGTAGGGTCCATGTCCTCTCGCCTTCCCTCCCCGTGTGACTTGGAACAACTTCCCCGACCTGTCAGAGCCTTGGCTTCCTCATCACCACTATGCAGGTGACAAGAATCTGGGCCACGGGGTTGTTACGGGTCCATATGAGACGAATGTTTACAATAGTGCCTTCATGTGTATGGGGACTCCCCAGGGTTCTTGTGAAAATGTGGATTCTGAGTTGGCTGGACTGGGTGAAGGTCCTTTGTGGACAGCCCCCAGGGCATGCCGAGGCTGCAGGTCCCCAGATCATACTCTAAGTTCGGAGGACTTAGAACATGACCTGACTACAGGACCCACGAAGGAGAGCCAGAGTTAACAGAGTTGAAGCTATTATTATTATTGCCTTTTGGGGTGGATGCCTGGGGCTTTCCAATCTCTTGCTCTTACAAACAGGTCACAATAGCAAACCCAGGCAGGCAGGTCATTTTCCAGTGGAGTGGGTGTAGCTCTAGATGAATTCCTGAAAGCGACATTGCCTGTTGCTGCTGTGATATTGTCAGTTGGCCCCGCTCCTATGTATCCATGAGCAAGCCTGCTTCCCTCCTTCTCTGCTCAAGTTCTCCGTCTTGCCCACCCTGGCTAGCCTGATGGAGGACCGATAGCACCTGGGGTTCCCGTTGCTTTCCTTTCCCGGGGAGGGAGGTGGAGCATTTCTCCGTCTGCACCATGGTGTTTCCTCTCTGCACACCCCGTTCTCACCCTCTGCCGTGCGCTGGTCTTTTTTTCCTCTACTTTGGCTCTTTGCCGCTCAAGCAGCAAATATGTCCCCAGGGTTTGGCTCTCTTTCTACATCGATGATGCTGGATTTTGCCAGGTGGACCCAGACACCAGAGCTGGTTCAGTCACTGTTTCCTTTCTAGTTCCTGGGCTCTGCCCCTTTTCCTTCCTGTCTGGGGCCACCACTGTGATCTGGAGCTTGGGGAGAAAACGGGCCAGAGTCTTGAGGGTGATTTAATCAAAGAGGTATCTCTTCCTACCTCTTTCTCAGGGACGTGGCAGTAGGAAGTGGGGAGCAGGAACAGTTTACAAGGCCTGTAACTTGGGTCTGGGTGAGAGGAGGGAGTGCCCTGACCATCCGGAACGCCCCTCTGTTGAGTTTCAGTACCCTCACCCAGGCCACAGGCCATGCCGGGGACCACGGAGCAGAGAGCCACACTCTTGCCCTGCTTCCCAGGCCTCTCTCTCTGCCGAAGGTGCCCCACTCCTCTCTCCATTCTTCACCCCCTTTCCATGTTCCTAAGACTTGAAAGGGGGCTCTAGAAAGAACTGGAGTTTTCCGTTGCCCTATAACTGAACCTTGGTGGTCATAGTCAGCCCACAGCCCATTTGGGGCACCTGGGAGAAGAAAAGGACACACACACACACACACACACACACTTTACTATTTCATATGTATAAATATGTCCTTTTGCAGTGCTGGGGATGGAACCTGGGGCCCGGCACAAGCTGGGCAAGCCCTCTACCTCCCAGCCCCACCCCCAGCCCTCGTATTTTTAAATGACTGGGGAAAACGGGGAGAAGAACG